GACACGTGGGAAGAGTTCAAAGCTGCACCAGAAGAGGTTTAGACTGGACATTAGGAAGCGTTTCTTTACTGAGAGGGTGGTCAAACACAGGAACAGGCTTCTTAGAGAGGAGGTCGATGCCCCAAGCCTCTCAGTGTTCGAGAGGCATTTGGACAATGCCCTTAATAACATGCTTAACTTTTGGCCAGCCCTGAATTGGTCAGGCAGTTGGACTAGATGATCATTGTAGGTCCTTTCCAACTGAAATTCAATTCAATTCAATTCAATTCAATTCAATTCAATTCAATTCAATTCAATTCAATTCAATTCAATTCAATTCAATTCAATTCAATTCAATTCTATTCTATTCTATTCTATTCCTGAGTTGGCAAAGTTGGTTCTGTAAATCTGTCTTTTACCTTCAGCCCTGGAAATGGTAAATGTAATTTTTGCTGAGAGTGGCATCTCCTGGAACTACTTAATTTGTAAAAACATTATTTTTTTGTATGAAACCCAATAAATGTCTAGTCCTTTGATACTGAGAAAAAGTTTAGAAGGCAAGCAAAACCAACCAACACACACAATTTATAATTTCGTTATTTTTAAGGAAATGTCTTGCTATTTGATTAATGCTGTACTTTCACAATCTTACTCTTAACCTGTTTTATTTTCAGCCTTAGTTAGGAAATAATTGTTTCCAGTAGTATTTTTTTTTTCCACTTTTAGGAACATTATTAGTGGGCCTGATGTTTGTAACAGCTGGCTTTCATAACATTGGGTGTCAGATTTTACTGTTGCCACAGTTTGAGACAGGAATAAATAAAGTGTATTAGGTGCTTTGCCTTATAATCAAATACCTCTGATAGCAGATACGGCATGTGGAGAAGCAGTACTGGGCATAACAGCACAAGTCAGGACTAGCCAATATAAGCTGCTTTAAATTGTGCACCTTCAAAATATAGGTGTGCCTCATCTTACTTCATAATAATTACAACATACAAGTACTGTGAAAGAAGCCTTACCAACAGTTTCCACTTTTGCTGCCATTTGGAAGCGGCAGCTGCAGGGCCCAGGACCAGCCTTCACTGTGGAGCCCACGCCTTCCCACAGCAACTGCTGCAGTCAGAAGGGTTGATTTAGGGTTCCCCAGGAAAGCAGAAATCAAAAGTGAGTAGAAGACTGCAGACCTCATTTGGGAAATGAGTAGTGCTTAATGACTAGCTAGGTCAACAGGCAGGCGTTTCTCTTCATAGATTTTTCAGTTTCCCAGAAATGATGAAGAACAAAGAATAATGTGAAAACCACAAAGTAGTCCGGCTTATGTGTCGCCAGTTAAGCATCAGAACCCATTTTGGCACTCAGATTCCTTAGTTTTGGACACTGTTTTTGAATATTTTTACTTTATTATATCATTACTAATATTTTTGGTAGAGTAGCACTTAAAAAAAAAAAAACAACCAATATTCCTAGTACTACAAATGCAGTTACAAAATGCACTGGTGTTTTTAGGTTGCTGATAGCATCTGGTCCCCAGGAGCACATCACAGGAGATAATACAAGATCATCATATGTAACCACAGTGTGTTGTTCATGTACTGCTATGTCTTCCAGCTTTTAGAAACTATGACTGACCTACTGCCCAAATGCAGTGTTTTATTCAAATCAGGTGATGGTTTTCTGCATTAACAGTTTCAGACCCCTACCAAACTGTCTAGCAGCGGTGTAAGCGCTGTACTTCTGAATACAGTTCTTCCAAAAGGCTGGCTTTTCTTGGTTACTTTCTGCAGGCCTTTTCTTCAGGAAGGTTGTGGGCCTCTATGTCTTAGAACTGCTACAACTCTATGCTGTCATGAGTGTGTTTAACCTGTGCTTTTTAAATCGCTAGGATTGATGTGGCACACCTTCCTTATAGCACTGCCGAATGCTGCGTGGCACGCCTAACACATGATGCTTCTGTCTTCCTTTTGGGATGCTGTGTGCCTCAGTCCCTGCCTTTTTTTCTGGAGTGTGGGCTCCACCCCTTAAGCCTAGGAAAGACTTAAAGCAGGCAGCTGTGCCACCTGGGTGCACATCCTGTCCTCCTCCGCAAGGCTTGCGTTGCTTCTCTATCTGCTGATACGTACAATTTCTGATTCCCGCTTCTTGCTGTGCAGTGCTGAGAAGTGGATCCACCCTTGAGCTGTCATTTCCTGGCACTAGTGGTCTTCTTGACTATTCAGGTATTTGCACCTAAAGTAAGCTGGAGAGTGATGGAATAGACCTGTACAAGTAGAAAGTGTGAAAGATTCTCAGCAACTGGTAATGTATCTTTTAAATAGTTTAAGGACTTTGATTAAATGTGCTTCCTTATCACGCTTGAAATTTTTCTATCACATCACCTTTGGAATGAGTTTGAGAATAGATTTTTCTTTTCTGACTTGACCATTAAGTTAAAACACCGGCTTCAGAAATGTTTGAGGTTTAGTGTCTTTTTGTGAAAGAAGTGATTGTGTAAATGGGACTAACAGTACTGATGCTAAATGAACCTACCAGAGGAATTACGTCTTCTGCAGGACTGGTTCCACTGTCCTTCAGCTATTTTTAAGCTCACATCATCTGCCCATTGATTTTTGATACAAGTTTGTTTGGCTTGCTGTTCTTACAGTTTCTTTGAACTGATTCTTCACAAATGTTGACAAATTTTCTAGTTTAAACATACATGAAAATCAAGAAAATTTTAGCCACAGCAGCATTTGCGTAGATTTTCTTCTGCCTTGCTTGCATTCTGTAGTTTTAAAAGAGGTATGAATTGCTGCCTATTGTGATCTGGTTGCTTTTCTCAAACTTTTTGCACAGGTAAAAAGACTGCAGGTAGGCATATAGGTGTATTTTATGATAAATCAGCCCTTGCATATACTGAGCTATATTCACACTGACAAATAATATCTGTAACGATTTTCAGCATTTTGGAAATGGAATTTTGCTGCTTGTTATCTCCTAATGACTGGTTTTTCAGGCTTTTTAACAACAACATGTGAGTTTATTCTAATGGTTGCAGAAAACATTTTTTTTAAATTGTGTACCACTATTGCTTCTGATTAATTTATCACCTATTTCTGTTGCACATGGTATTCCCACGTTCTTTTGACAGAATACAGACCGATATGCCATAAGTTGTAGGATGTCACCTCAGTGCTTATGACCACAAACCTAATCAGCAAGAATAAAGGACAAGAATAAATTGGGAAAGAAGAATAAAAATTGTTGAGCATTGCATTTTTCTTTACATAGTAAAGAGAGTCTCTGATGCTAGAGACAATGCAGTTGGCATTTGTCCTGGCTTCAGCTGGGACAGTTAGCCGTCCTTTTTAGCAGCCAGAAGAGCTCCGTGTTTTGGTTTTAGTCTGAGACTTGCTCTGAGAAGAACACTGACAGCACACTGATGATTATAGTTGGCACTGAGGTCTCAAGGACTTTTCAGCTGCCATGTTCTTGCCAGTGTGCAGGAGCACAACAGGATAGCGGGGAGCACAGCCGGGACAGAGGGTCCACGACTCTCCTTATGATTCATACTTAGACTTAGGATTGAGGGCCAAACTGGCCAATCAGTATTCCGTATCATGCAGCCTCATGCCCAGGATAAAAGTGAGGGACAGCCAGAAAGAAGGACCTTTGCTCTTCCAGGGCTCTCACTCTCGGACTCTCGGAGTGCTCTCTCTGTCTCGCTCTCTATTTTGGGGCCTCTTGCTTGTCTGGGATTGTGGTGTTGGGACTTATCTGTTAATTCGAGATGAGACGGGCCTCAGCCAAGGGGTGGTGAGTAATTACACGGTATGTCACTCGTTGGTATATATTCATCATTGTACATATCTGTGTATATATATATATATATCTCAGTAGCAGTAGCAGTAGCAGTAAATTGTTCTTATCTCAACCCATGGGTCTCTTTTCCTTTTCTCCTTTAATTCCCTTCCTCATCCTGGGGTTGGGGGAGGGTGAGTGAGCAGCTGTGAGGAGTTTAGTTGACGGAGCTGCCTAAACCACGACACCATCTTTGATGCTACTTTTCCATCTCAGCAAGAAGAAATGAGTAGTTATAAATCTTGCTTCAGCTGTTACTTCTGTCAGTCAGTAAACAAAAATACTAAAGCTACTGTGATAAAGCTGAATGTAACTCTGGTTACTCCACCATCTCAAAAAGGTTATAACAAAATTAGAAAAAGTCCAGAGATGGGCAGGAATGATGGTCATGAGTATGGAAGCACTGCCATATGAGGGATACCTAAGCAAACCAGGCCTTTTCATTCAGGAAAAGAGCTGACTGATGGCCGAGAGAATATGAAAAATTTCAGAAATGCTCAGTGGCAAATCCTGAGAGAGGCACCGTTCACTTTCTTTACCATACTACCCTGTGGCCATCCAATGAAGTTGTAGGACTTGGATTAGAAAGAAAAAAGGAGACCATTCTTTGTGCAGCAGATAGTAGAGCTGTGTAGCTTATTGCGAAAGGATGTGGTAGATGCTAACTGTTCACAGGAATTTAAGGGGAGACTGGATAAATACATGAAAGGGAACTTCATAGATGTTCCCTATATATAAAGAAACTGCATCCCTAGATATCAATTTTACCACTGAGGGAATATTGAACTAGGTGGTCCTTATGTTTTCTAGGTCTTTAGATGTACCTTATATTTTTGTTTATGTTCTGAAAGCCAGTGTTTTTACATAGTCATCCTGAAATCCCATATCAATTTATTTTGCTGCTTGTTACATTCTTTGTGGTCAGTGACTCAAACAGGAGAAAACCCTGGGTGTTGCTCAATACTATTCCATCACCATTTATAAAAGCAGAACTGGTTTCCACTGTTGCATGAAGATTATCTCATATCTAACAGGTTGTTGTTGTAGCACTGGCAGTTCTAATGACAGAAAATATTGCAGCCCATTGTTTCAAATTAGACTTAATTCACTCTAATTTTCCTATACCTGAAGAGTCTTGTTCTAGAATGATGTGTTGTTTTCTTGGGGTTCTTTTTTTAGGAATGGAGAAGCTGGTTGTTTGTCCATACAAAAGGCCAAATGCTCTCTGTAGGCTGATTTGCTTTCCATGGGCTGGAGGTGGAACTTCTCAACTTGCTCAATGGGGCAAACTCTTCAGCAATTCAATTGAAGGTTAGTCATTTGTATAGTTAAAGCAGAAGTTAAGCAAGCCTGAAATACACAATAGCCAATTTTTTTTGTATGGAACATAATGCGCTTGAGCGCACTGTGATCTTTTTCCAATGGGTCTTATCCAGAAAGGAATTTCATTAGAAATTGGCATTTCCATTAGAGTGCTGAGAAACTATTGGTATGATTCAGAAACAGCAATACACTGGCATATTGTTAATATGTTAAAAAAAAAGGCATCAGCAAGGTTAACTGTGAAGACACAAGAACTGTTATTAATGTTGAGAGACAGCACTGAATGAATTTCTGTTATCCAGAGTGTCTGCATGGTTTTGTACTTGTATCAAAACTGAGGTTTAAACTGTGGATTTGTAACAGTGAAATGGCATTTAGTTACAATGCGAAGTAATTCTCATGCTATCAGGCTATATCAGCACTAAAAAGATGCATTGCTGCACTATCTGAAGAGGAACCAAGGCCGGTTTCTAGACCTTCCACAAAGAAAAAAATAATTTAGTATTTATAGAGAGCATTGCCATTGCAATCGTACCAGTCCTCTAAATGCTTGTATGCTTTCTGTAAACAGTTGCTCAAGTCATATAAAATTTTTCTTGAAATTAAAAAAAAAAAAGCTTTTGTCTGCTGGAACTACTTCCAACAAAGTTACTAAGGATATGGCCTAGGAACAACTGTAGACACAGATGAAGAAAATCAGGGTACCGTATGCTCTTTCAGAGGTGTTTTGTGTAGAAAGGAAGTAGAGAAGATGCAAACATTTCTGTACTGCTCCCTATGGTACGAGGTAGTGGTTTATTCTATCTCTTCTAAAATACTTTGTGTCTGACCCATTACTTCCATGTGAGTTTGGCAGTATGCATAATGTCAAGGAGATTTTAGAAAGTCAACATTTTTTTCTGATCTGTTCATTCCTTACTTTCTCTAAACAGTGAGAGGAAAATCCTCAATTTTGAAAGGAGTGTCACAAAAGCATGTAATATGTCCTTCTGTATAATTAGAAATTGCCATCAGTTTCTACTATGATTCCAAAGAATCATTTCTGCAAAGAAGAAAACAGGGACTGTACGATTCTAATATAGTTTAACTTCTAATGCTGCCCTTGAAAGGATATATTTTACACAACTGCCAAACTTACTATTATTGAAATTAATCAATTTGTGGTCGTTATTAATACTAATAGTAATAAAGTTACTTTGAAACCTCAGCTGAGATCAGGATCTTGTGGATTTCTGACCCAAGGCATTTATCCATGAGGTAACTGGAGAGGCAACATTTGTGAGTAAAGGAAGGGATGGAAACCTAATCTCTCACAGGATTAAAAGATTAAAAGACAGTAGTATCAACAGCAAATACACTGTACCAATTGTAAAACAAATTAATTTAAATAATCTATTCTGCAGCACAGATTAACAAACTTAATTAAAATTATGTTACTGTTTCTATTTGAAGTAACTATAATTTTTTTCCCTCCCTTCCTCCATCTCTTCTACAGTATCCTCTGTAAGGCTTGCTGGAAGAGAATCTCGTCTTAAGGAGCCTTTTGCAAAAGACATGACAACCATAGTTAATGAAATTACAAGTGTTTTGTTAAAAGAATTGCAGGAAAAACCATTTGCATTTTTTGGTCACAGGTAAAAATCTATACATTTTTAGGTACCCTGGTGAAGGAGCTTTATCTTTGAACTCTAGGAGTGGATAGTTACTTGCCTTTATTTGCAGAAACTTTAGGAAAATACACATCTGCAAATTTCGTTTTGTCAAGTCAACCTAAAACATGCTGTTGATCTCGAAGACTCTGGTTATTTATTTATTACTTCAGGTACAATGTCTTCTAAAAATAGAAGTGTTATGTTTCTTTTTTTTTTTACACTCACAAATTATAATTTTATTTCCTGTTAATATTTGCATCAGTGCTCGCTCTGTATGAATGCAGAAGGTGAACCATTCATAAAACACATAGATTTTGAAGATCACTTAGTCCCAAGTATTCAAAGTAACTGTTCTTACTGCAAATTAAGGTGATTACTAAAAGAAAGAGAGATTAAAAGAAGGTCTGATTTGTAAAACTGGACTGTGTAGGAATACACTTCATGTCAGCTAGTTAATATCATTATGATTTATATGTCATGTGGTTTCAGTAACTGTTCAAGACAGCTGGTAAGCACTGAAATTCAAATTATCTTTAAATTTTCCAGTTTTTACTTACTTTGCTTTAATTTCTCTTTTTGCTGCAGTTTTGGATCTTACATTAGTTTTGCAGTTGCACTACACTTGAAAGAGAAGTATGGACTAGAGCCAATCCATCTTTTTGTCTCAGGGGCACATGCCCCACAAGTAAGTTACAGAAGCATTAGTAGTACGAAACAAAACAGCCTGTTAGCTACCAAGAGTAAAAAGAACATCTTACAGTATGGTATGAAGAGTGGCTGTAACACAAAACAAGCATTGCTTCTGAATATGTGCAGAAAAATGTTCTGGTTTCTTAGAGCAAATGGATTCTGAGGCGGACAGAGAATTTCATGGTACAGAATGTTCACTGCTGCTAATCGTAGCCTAGGGAGAACAGTCTCCTTAAGCTAATGCCACCTCTTTTGGATAACGGGTTATTTACTATTGCCTTTGGCTTAATACTAACAAGTAATCAAAACAAAATATAAAGTGCCGCTTCCTACTCCGTAATACATGAAATAACAGTCTTAACCTAGTCTTTCATAAACCTCCTGCACCAGCCCTTGGTACATTTGTCCATGTATTTCTTTCCCTCCTCATTCGTTGTTGGCTTTCTAATCTGTCCTCAGTTCCTTCTGAGGTTCTGGTGGTTCTGCTAGTCTTTCTCAGGAAAACAACAGTGAAGTGGCTTTCTCCCAGTTCTCCTGTCCTCAGTCAGCATATGTTATTTCCATTGTTCTGTTTCTGCGGCTTCTTAGCAATCCTGAGTACGAGCTAGTATTTCATGGAAGCAATTATTACTCCTGCAAATTTCCATGACTGGTTGGTCTCTCCAGTCCTGCATTAGTCAGATTTGTGTCCACTGCTAGGCTTTGCTTTCTCTTAGAGTCTTTTATTAGCTGTATTTCAATAGTTAGAGTCAAACTCCAAACAAAATTAAATTAATGGTTATTTTTCTGTGGAAGTTTCAGACCTTGAGGGTACTTGGCTTACTCATAATCTGTATTCTCAGCAAACACAGTCTACTAACCCTTTCGAAGAATTATTCTCTGTGGATATTAAACTAATCAGACATTGTATTTTGGAGACAGATAATCATTATACTTTTTTACTGAAACAATTTTTCATGAAAATATTATTTAAAGTATATTATATACAACAGCTGATCTGTTTTCTTTGGTGCTGACAGTCAGAAGAATTGCTTCCCATCAAAAGCATACCCATATCTGATACAGAAGATGAAGACATTCTTACATATATACAGATTTTAGGAGGAACTCCTTCTGAGCTTCTGCAAAATGAAGACATTAAGGAACATCTGCTACTTACTTTCAGAGAAGACGTTAGAGTTCTTCAGACATTTTCGTAAGTTTTACAATTTCGTATTACATTTATATTTGTATTTAAAGTTTTACTTCTGTCTGACCATTTCAGGTTTTCTTTTTTCTCTCTCTGTAATTTGTTCTTGTTTCTGTTATAAAAAGAATATGAAACAGTAATCGCAGTTTTCTCCTTTGTGTGCTCTTCCATTGATATCTAGTATTTAAGCCCTAGACTAAAACACTGCTTACTGTAGCAACCACTACTATTATTACAGTAGTGAACATGTCATGGCAGAATGACAGTTCTACTTAGGATCCAAAGTTAGTGGCCACTAAAAGGAATATTCTCACATCTTTTGCAGTTTTCTGAGGCTAATAAGCTCAACTGCTCATGCTTCAGGATCACTGCATTCAGCCTCCTAACCCAAGGCCCCCTAGCCTAACCAGAAGCAAAGTTTTACGACTACTTTTTATGTTCACAGTTTCGAGAATGCAGAAAGGAATGTCCCCTTCTCTTGTGATATTACCTGCTTTAATGGGTCTGAAGATAAACCACATGATTTAGAAGGTACTTTGCTTAAATGATTTTCCTCTTATGTGTTTTCCTGTTGTATCTAATCAGCTAATTAAGAGTTTTCTAGAGTCATTTATCTCCTTCTCAAATGAAACAAATCAACAGAGCAGTCTCAATGTATGAACCAAAGCAGCTGATACAGGATTTAAAATAATTATTAAATAATAATTTTGAAATAGTTATGTAAAATTACCACAATAGTTGACATTTCTCTGACACTTTAAATATCTTTTTCAGCCTGGCATGATCTAACAAGTGGAGATACTTCCTTTTACAAGCTTCCTGGAGGTCACTTTTATCTGCTGGAACCCTCTAATGAAATTTTCTTGATAAAACACATAACAAGATGTATAGAAAATGCTGGTCTATGAGTATTTCTCTCTATTTTAATGGCAGAACGTGTAAGATTAGTCCACAGCACTTTGTAATAAGTCATACTTTCTGTACAGTTGCATGCTGTTATGCCTAAAGAGTTGTTCTGTTCCTCCAGATCTTTACTGTAATCCTTTCAAAGGGGGATTTTTTTCCTTTTTTTAAAAAAAATAAACATTGGCTTAGGGTCTTAAAAATAAAAAAGTTTTCAGTTTTTCCCTCTTCTCATCTTGCACGTGCACAAACCCTTCACTTCATTCACAACCTCGTTTGCAAAAAATGACAGCTATGCTATTTTACTTTTACAGCTTCTGTTTGTGTGCACCTGCAAAAATGCTAAATATAATATAATACCTACAAAAATGCACAATTCTTACAGAAAGCTTAATTTATGAGGTTCAGATTTATTTAGAATAAGATACAATCTAAAAATAGGTATGTAAATACCCTTTGGAGTCAAACAGCTTATGCTTACAAGATTTTACTGTCAGACTACACAAGAAGTGAGTACTGCATTTTTCTCATCAGAGTTAGTTCATTAGCTACTGAAGAGTTAGTCTTAGTGGGAATTATTTTGAGTGTTCTAGATCCCATATTTTTCTACCATTGCTTTTGCTTTAGAGATATAGGCATTCATGGCATCCTCCTTTGATAAACCTGCAAAGGAAAGTAGGAGTCATTATCTTTCCTCATTTGCCATCCTATAAACATGACTACATGATGTAAATTTAATTGGTGTAACACCTTTTTTCAGGTTCCATGCCTCCCATTTGGCTTTGCCTTTCAAATCTAGCATTCCTGGACATTCTGCCAAAATAAATGCATACCTTTGATTATCATTCAGATTTACATAATATTTGCTTGATTTTATAAAGATGTGGGAGTAAATGTGACGTATATATAGGAATACCAATATTAATGTCTCCAACAGTAGCCTGTTTGTACAAGCCATATAGTTCCTTCATTTCTTCATCAGTTGGTCTTGTTTTTAATTTTTTTACATCTTCTGCAGCACCATCAAAGTCAGCCTGATGAAAGAAAAGAAAGTGTTAGTTTTCCTCGCAAGGGATGTGCTTAAGACACTAAGTGTAGCACAGTAGTATCATTACATACTCTCAATTACTCATTTGGGTTTAGCAGTCAGTCTAGGCATTTTCCCAGGAAAGAAACTTAATAAAACCGTAAGTTATTAGAAAAGGAACTAGGCCTACTTAGCTGATAGGGGAGCACTGCTAAAAGAGGCAAAGCTATTTTTTCCAACAGTTTTACATCTAAACACTTGAAACCATTACAGACTGCCTAGATAGAGTCAGGATATCTACAGATCCATTCCTGCAAGCAGCCTATGCGGTTAATGTAGTGCATGTGTCCTTCACAGTCACACTGGGGGTATGAAGGCGTTCATTGAACTTTACACCCCAGCAGTAATCTCTGAATCCTTCTGGCCCTGACTGCATGGTGTTGACTTTAGCGGCAGAGCTCAAATACCCTCTGAGGGGTACTGCCCACTTGCCCCTTCATTTCCACTTCTCCACTGACAGTGCAGTACGTGACCACAGTTGGCAGAGACGTTCCCCACAGAGATGAGCAGTGCTACTGCCAGGACCACCTTCAACACCCAACTCTCAAACACAGTGTAGCACAAGAGTGAAATATAAATTTGCTCCTTTCATCATCATGCATCCCACATTCACATTAACCCAAGTCTATAGCCGTTATTCTCTCTATATATTAGGTCTCAGGCTAGATGTTGGCATAGTCTCTGGAGTCCTGTTTCATGCCCAGGGCATTTCAGAGATAGATTTCGTACAGTGACCACAGACCCGCCAGGTCACTGCACTACTATAGCGCAAAAAAAGATGCAGCCACTTTGCTACGCTATGTGCTGGTTTCAATCCTTGTTTTAGCTTTTCAGTTGGATCCGCATTTGCAGAAGCACAGTACATCCTGCAAGATGTGCTATTACACATATATTTAATATGTACAAAACCAGCCTACAACTTTGTGCTAAAATCAACAACGCAGCATATTCAACAATGGTTTCCGCATGAGTATTGTGGCTCCGTTTAAATAATGGAGACCCTGGAATTACCTCAGCAGTCTGTACTGTGTTTCTTTGGACCGCTTTTTCCTTTCTCTACGTACAGGAAAGATTTTTTTTTTAAAAAGTAAGAAAACCCAATGCACATTTGTCTCCTTAATTGATGCCTTTCTCCTTGGCAAGTGACTGTGCTGGGAGGACAAGGTGGTAGAAATAAGCAAGTACGCATGAGGGCTGGGTTCACTATAGCATTCTGTATTTAAACAGAGAGAAAGGACAAGAGAAAGGTTATTTCTGTATTTAAATTTAAGAAGGAAAAATGAAAAATAATTTAATGAGAGACTGACACTCAACTATGGTTCTTCAAAGAAAGGTCTCAGAGCATCACGAAACTACACAGTCATTGATGTAAGGACACATCAGCTGGTGGCTGCATTACGGTGGCAGTAGCAGGTGAAAGAGGGCAAGGACAGGTAGCTGAGTGCATTGCAGTGTTCTGGCACAGAAACCTGGCCTCTCTCCTACCCAATGAGTCACCTCTATCTCCTGGGATGGAATCCACTTGGGGTTTTTTTGGCCTGGAAATTTAGTTTGGCTAGTGAATAAAGTTCCCAGATATAAGCTTCAAAGGAATTTCTAATTTTTGGCAAATTTTTCAATTGCTATTTGAAACCCACAAAGAGAAAGCACAAGTCTTAGAACAAAAGCGCTCACCACAGAGGACATACATCTGTAATACCAGAGTTGAAACAAGGAGCAGCAGGCAGACAGGTATATTGAAAAGGGATGTTTTAAAAAAACTCATGATCTATGATTAAAAGGGTGTTCTAGCAAAGGAATGCTCCCTGCAAAACAGCAATTAAAAATAAATCTTGAATCTTCTTTAAACTGCAGTTATAAATTCACAGAATATTAGATCACAAGGTTCATGATGGTAATCCACATCTCTAGGTCTGTCAGTTTATGATATCCTTAAAAATACAATGGAAGAAAAGCTCTTTAGACAAATATCCTGCACCAATGCAGATGATTATTAACAAATAATCTTCCAACTCAGCAAGAACCTCAGTGTTTGCATAACTAAGAAGCAGAATTTCCCAGGAGATTCCTACCAAGGCCTCCCAGAACCAAATGCCCAGTAGTGGATGCAGGAGTATAGAAAACGGCTAGAGTGTTAAAACAGTCTTTATCAGTTTTAAGTTTGAGAAATGCTGCTGTTATATGGAGATATTTTTAATATAATGATCCCTCATTTATTCAGTACAATACTGAGAATTAACCAGATTCCAAGTGCCATTTGTCCGCTTAAAGCTCTTAAACTTGGACATTTGACAAAGTACATGTTTTAGCAGAGTTATCACATTAAATTCTTGTCATGGTTTGATGTGGAGGTGGGGTGGTTCTGGTGGCAGGAGAGGGGTTTTGCTCCCTACGACCTCCCCGGTTTTGGAACCGGGTTAGGCTTAGTTCTGGCCATGAGATCAGACTGGCATCCCCCTTGGGGTTGAGCCAATAGGGCGCCTCTGCAAATTGCCCTATTTAAGTCAGGACAAAGGAACCGGAAAAGGTGCTTTTGCCCAGGAGTGAGCAGAGAAGGGAGGAGGGCACTGCCCCCGCTCCCTGGCTCCCGGCCGGGCAGCTGCCTGCGTCGGGCCGGCGCCGCCCACGGAGAATGGCGGCGGCGGAGCCGGCTGGGGAACTCGGGGGCACCCCACTCCCGGGGTGCCCACTGGGCTGAGTTCACCTGGAGAGGACTGAGATCTGAGAGAAACAGCCGCATCGACAGCAGGTCAGTGAGGATGGAGCGGGAGGAGGTGTGCCGGAGCCGAGTTTCCCCTGCGGCTGATGGTGAGATAGC